CCGCTCCCCAATCCACCACCCAGCACCCCCGCTCGACTGGCACCGGCTGCTGCTCGTCTCTCGTACCCTCCGCTCCACCATTGGAGGTCGCGCTTACAGCCGCTGAGCCCCGAAACTGTGGAACACTCTCCCTCAATCCCTCCGCCTTGCCCCCTCTCTCTCCCCCCTTTTTCAAGTCCTGCCAGGAAACCTTTGTTTTCGACCGTGCTTACGGTCACCTCGCTCCCCCCCCCCACCCCACCCCACCCGGATTCGATGTCAGGCTCCGTGTTGAGCGCTCTGAGACACTGACTGGCCTGCGAAGAGGGTGCGACAGGCGCCAGCAAGTTGTTATCGTTATTGTTGTAAATGCAAGTGCCCGAGGAACCAACAGAAGGACCATCTGAATGCTTCTCGGAAAGCGGCTGTGGCTGGAAACCCAGAATGAAAACCGGGCACGGTGATGCTGGTGGGGTTTATCCCTGCGGGCGAGGGTGTGTGTCCGTTGCTCCTCTTGGCGCAGTTGGTAGAGCCCTGCGAGGACTCGAAAGTCCCCGCCTTTTGAGGCTCAGTCCCCGCTGACAGTCCAGCGCTGGGAGAGGGAGTGCCGAGTTGACAGCAACGCCACTTTTCGGGTGAGATGTCGAACTGAGATGTCGACGCCAGAGGCACTGGATTCATTTACAAGACAGCTGTGGGCGGGCAGGCGGGCGGGCGGGCGGGAGGCGGGCGGGCGGGCGGGGGGCGGGCGAGCAGGCGGGCGGGAGCGGGCGGGCGGGCGGGAGGCGGGCGGGCGGGGGGCGGGCGCGGGGCTGAGGGGTCCGGAGGAATGAGACAAAACAAACCCACCGTGTGATCAGCAACGTTTAATAAGGGGGTCACATTCGAGCTGCCAATACCGGCAATATCCCAATGGATTCCCTGGAGCTCACCCCCCCCCCCACACACACACTCACACCCCCCCACACACACACACTCACACCCCCCACACACACTCACACTCACACCCCCCACACTCACTCACACCCCACACACACCCCCACACACACACACACCCCACACTCACACCCCCCACACACACTCACACCCCCCACACACACTCACACCCCACACACACACACTCCCCACACACACCCCCCACACACACTCACACCCCCCACACACACTCACACCCCCCACACACACTCACTCACACCCCACACTCACTCACACCCCCCACACACACTCACACTCACACCCCCCACACACACTCACACCCCCCACACACACTCACACCCCACACACACACACTCCCCACACCCCCCACACACCACCCCCCACACACACTCACACCCCCCACACACACTCACTCACACCCCACACTCACTCACACCCCCCACACACACTCACACCCCCCACACACACTCACTCACACCCCCCACACACACTCACACCCCCCACACACACTCACACCCCCCACACACACTCACACCCCCACACACCACACACACCACACTCACACCCACACACACACTCACCCCCCCCACACACACACACACTCACACCCCCCACACACACTCACACCCCCCACACACACTCACACCCCACACACACACTCACACCCCACACACACACTCACACCCCCCACACACACTCACACCCCCCACACACACACTCACACCCCCCACACACACTCACACCCCCCACACACACTCACACCCCCCACACACACACTCACACCCCCCACACACACTCACACCCCCCACACACACACTCACACCCCCCACACACACTCACACCCCCCACACACACACTCACACCCCCCACACACACACTCACACCCCCCACACACACTCACACCCCACACACACACTCACACCCCCCACACACACACTCACACCCCACACACACACACTCACACCCCCCACACACACTCACACCCCCACACACACACTCACACCCCCCACACACACTCACACCCCCCCCACACACACACTCACACCCCCCACACACACACTCACACCCCCCACACACACACTCACACCCACCCACACACACACACACTCACACCCCCCACACACACACTCACACCCCCCACACACACACTCACACCCCCCACACACCCCCCCCCCCCACACACACTCACACCCCCCACACACACACTCACACCCCCACACACACACTCACACCCCCCCACACACACTCACACCCCACACACACACACTCACACCCCCCACACACACTCACACCCCACACACACACTCACACCCCCCCACACACACACTCACACCCCCCACACACACACTCACACCCCCCACACACACACACACTCACACACACACTCACACCCCACACACACTCACACCCCCCACACACACACTCACACCCCCCACACACACTCACACCCCCCCACACACACACACACACACTCACACACACTCTCACACCCTCACACACACTCACACCCCCCACACACACTCACACCCCCCACACACACACTCACACCCCCCACACACACACACCACACTCACACACACACTCACACCCCACACACACTCACACCCCCCCCACACACACTCACACCCCCCACACACACTCACACCCCACACACACACACACACACTCACACACACACTCACACCCCACACACACTCACACCCCCCACACACACACTCACACCCCCCACACACACTCACACCCCCCACACACACACTCACACCCCCACACACACACACTCACACCCCCCACACACACTCACACCCCCCACACACACTCACACCCCCCACACACACACTCACACCCCACACACACACACTCACACCCCCCACACACACTCACACCCCACACACACACTCCACACTCACAATAATAAATTGGTCACTTCAATCCATGGGCTGTTGGTGGAGGACGCCGCTAAAGCGGGCCGGCCTCACTGCCGTAAAGCGGGGGCCTCACTGCCGTAAAGCGGCCTCACTGCCGTAAAACGGGCCACTTCCCCCCCCTCCGGGGGCTGTGAGTTTGTTTTGCGACGCGGCCACTGGAAACCAAAATGGCGGCGCAGTTGAGCGGAATTCTGCGGCTGACGGATTTGGATGATTTCATTATCCCGTCTCAGGTACATCACCCGCTGGTAACCCGGGGGGGGGCTGGGGGGAGGGGAGAGGGGGCTGGGGGGAGGGGTGAGGGGAGAGGGGGGGCTGGGGGAGAGGAGAGGGGGGGCTGGGGGAGGGGAGGGGGGGCTGGGGGAGGGGAGAGGGGGGGCTGGGGGAGAGGAGAGGGGGGCCTGGGGGGAGGGGGGCTGGGGGGGGAGAGAAGGGGGGCTGGGGGGAGGGGGGAGGGGGAGAGTGGGGGGCTGGGGGGAGGGGGGAGTGAGAGGGGGGGCTGGGGGGGGCTGGGGGGGAGGGAGGGGGAGAGGGAGAGGGAGAGGGGGGGAAGGCCTGGGGGGGAGGGAGGGCTTGGGGGAGGGGAGAGAGGGGGGGGGCTGAGGGGGGAGGGGGAGGGCTGGTCATGGGATGTCCTGTTGCCCCTGGTGACCGGCCTGCGGTTCACTCTTGGCTGTAATTCCACTATGAACACCGGTCGGTGTGAGTCAGGAGCCGGGGGTGGGGACTGGTGGGGCGGGGGTGGGGGTGGGGGGTGGGGACTGGTGGGGCCGGGGGTGGGGGTGGGGGGAGCGCAGGACAAGCGCACGGCCAATCACAGTGACAGCGACAGTAATGACCCGGCGCCTGGTCACGCACGTCGTCGAGACGTCTGGAAGCGCTTCGCGGGGACACACTGTGAAAGCCGGGTGGGGGGGCGGAGGGGGACACTCGGCCGGTCAGGCAGCATCTACGGAGAGAGGAAAGTGAGTCGACGTTTCGGGTCCACGACCCTTCGTTGCCTTCGCTCCCCCGGGTCTGGCCTCCTCCTCGTCCCCCGAATCCTCCGCTCCACGCTCAAGAGTCCGTGGCTTCAGCCACTACCCCCCGAGGCTCTGGAACTGCCTTCCGCACTCCCTTCGTCTCGCTCCCTCTCTTCCTGTTTTCAGGTCTCTGCTGAAGACCTTTCTCTTCGACCGCACCTTTGGTCATCTTCCCCCCCCTCCCCCCGGCTCGGTCCAGGGATCCGTGACTGTGAAGCGCTCTGAGACACCGTCCGGCGTGGAGGGCGCTATATAAATCCAAGTTGAATCGAGTCAACCCTCCCTGACAGTCTCGATAGTCTGGTTCCTGAGGTTCCTGAGGTCCGCAGTATTCCAGGGCACTCACCGCTGATGACAGCACTGCCCAGCCTGGCTCACCACCCTCCCCTCCCTTCTCCCTCCCCCCCAGCTCGGGTCTGAAATGCTGTCACTGCCCAGCACCTTGGGACGTCCTCCCGACGTGAAAGGCGCTACACACATGTAATCTTCTTGTTGTTAATCGTCTTCTAAAGTTGGTACATTGCGCATTTTGTGGACACAGTGGAAGCGGTTTTGCTCTATGCCGAGTCTACGGTGTGTCCTGATCTATGATGATGCTAATGGGGGGGAAAACCTGATTGTTGTTGGCGTCCTTCAGTTTAGGCCAAGTGCAGAAATGTTGTGCAAAAAAAGTCCCCCAGAACATTTCCCAGAATATGTTATTAACTCGAAGCAATTTTAGACATCGGTGTGAAGTTGCATTGTGCTCTTGCCGTGTGGTATCTTGGTATTCCTTAATTATTTATTCACCTCGAAGTGAACTCTAGATATCCATTATTCTCTGCTTCAAAAGTTACGGTGCATTTTATAAATGTATTCAATATAGTTATTTTTTTATACGTATCAGAAAATCACCATCACAACAACAAATTGCATTCTGTGGGTATTTCAGCCACAGAATATACAGTCAATTCACTTTACAGTCTATTCTGTAAAACGCTTTGAGACGTCTCAACGGCATGATAAGGCGCTATATCAAATGCAAGGATTATTATTATTTATGTAGCGCCTTTCACGTCAGGAGGACTTATGCTCTCCTGTGTCTGCAATTAACAGAACGCCCATCAAAGTTCTGCCAACTACTGCATTCCTTTGCGGGGCTGGCTGGTGTACTGTTTGTTGTGTTGGTTTGGTTGGCCACACCTCCTGGGCGTTCAGTGACAGACGTCCAACTGCACAACTCTCCAGACGCAGGTTTCAAGAGTCGAGACAGCATTTCTTTTATCAGCTCTGTCCGTTGGTGGGCAACAGTTTTGTTATTTTAAGTGCTTAATCTGACGTAAAGCTATTCTGCTCAATATGAAACTGGAAAAGTGTGCTAACTGCTTGAATGGGGTAAGAGTAAGAATCGTTACGAGTCTCTTGGGGGGGGAATTTCTTTTGCTGTACTGGAGAACAGAGTCCCAGTTAATTCTCAGTCTTTCTGCCTCATGGTACGGTCCACTGCTTCAAGTGATTTTATTGATCTGGAAAATAATGTGCGGGATTAATCTTTGTTTTGTAGTAATGTGCAGCAGTCCCTCGATTCGAAACAATACTTCCTCCAGATCATTGTTTGTAGATGTGTTTTCATGTTGGGGAGCTGATCACAATCTTAGTGAGATGGACAAAGTCTGAGGTTGACGTGCAATGTTAATCCCAACATGATTCATTGAATCACCAGTTTTGTTTACAGTTTCGCTATTTGCACATAACACTTTCAAACAGGAATTGAATTCTGTAACTGCCTACTACAGTGAGTAGTAAATCGTTCATATCTACAGGCTGCTGTTTACAACTTCATTACACTTTCGTGCATTCAGATCATTTACACATACATTGTGACGTCAGTGGGGCCCCTTTATCAATTGTGTAATCAAATACAAAAATTCCTCAACACGTCCTGATATTCCTGGGGTCTTCAATAATTCCTGCGCTTTATTTGGAGAAAATATTACACTCCGAGTATTGTAAAATCTCATCCTCCACTCACTGCCCTTAGGCTCCACTGCAGTCCTCCTGCACTCGCAGAACTAGTCGGCGACAGAGCATGGATGCAGGAGCTATCAAGTGACTCTGGATTTGTTGGCAAACGGGAGAGTCCTGTGTACAAACAGAGCCTCGTGACAAAGTTCCTTTGGTTTTTGTAGGAATGCGTAAAACCAGTGAAAGTTGAGAAGAAGCCAGGGAAATCCTCCGGCATCATCAGGATTGAAGACGACGGTAGTTATGTGCAGATGAACCTGGTAAGAAACCAACACATTTATTCTGCTGCTTTGAGAATTGCTAGTTGCATTGACAGAAACCAGAACTTTTTGGAAAACGATTGGGGGGAATAGATTTCCTAAGTTAATGCTTTGGCACTCCTTTGGACAATGACGATGGAAACTGTTATAACTAAACTAAAGAGTTACTGTTTGCTCAGAGCAAAATTTATCATTTAATTTTTGCTTTGACGGATTACACGTGATTCCAAGAGGGATATAGTTTTTTAAAAGCTGAGATCATTAATTTGCAAATTTCACAGTACTGAGCCTCTGCAACTTCTTAGTTTGAACTTCCTGAGTCAATTCACTTTACAGTATAATCTGTGAAGCGGTTTGAGACGTCTCAAAGATGTGATACGGCGCTATATGAAATGCAATTATTATTATTATCTATGAACGTTTTCTGTGCATTTATCCATATTTATTTTTCATTGCAGGATGGAGGGTTTCAGAAACTTGAGAAAGCAAAGATCACACTGAACGACTGCTTAGCATGCAGTGGCTGCATTACGTCAGCAGAAAGTGTATTGATCATCCAACAAAGCCACGAGGAACTGTACAAGGTCCTGAATGAAAACAAAGTAAGGCCTCCCTCTCGCTTTCCGATCTCAGTACCTACATTGTCTTTATATTTACCAAACCTGAGAGAGACGTTGCCAAAGTTCTGCCGGCTTAGATCAGTGAGCTCAGAGTGATTAATACAAATAGGTTGTCAGCCTTTTCACATTGGGACGACATCCCAAAGGCCTTCACAGGAATCACTGGAAAGTTTGGTGAATTTCGTTCCATGGCCCACGAATAGCCAAGATATGAATAACCAGATGTATTTGGGGGATTGTTGGCCGGACGCCGCGAGAGGGAAACTCCCTTTTTTTTTAGAATTGTGGCCATGGGATCTTTGATGACATATCTTCACCACAGCTTTCTGGCTCAAAGGCACTGAGGCTTAGGAAGCCGTAGTTGTTCTTAAGAAGCTGGGAAATGGGAGACAATCAAGTATAAAGTATTTGCAGGGAATTGGTGAGATCGGTACACAAGACCAGGACAGAGTCGATTGGGATTGTAAGAGGGATTAGATGGCTGGGGAGTAGAGAATTAAAAGATGTGAAGAAAAGATCAAGAAATGGGATTGAAAGATCGGCCATGAGGTAATAATTAATTAAATGGTCTAAATGACCTGTTCTTGCTCCTGTAGATTAGCCATAAATTGTAAGAACCAAGAAGAGAATTTGATCAGCGGCTGATACAGCAGAAAGCAAAGGGGTAAAGAACCTGAGTCTTGGTCACTGTTTAGATTGAATCCTCCTCTGAGCCTCACATTGTTTCACTGTTCAGGTGACAGGTTCTCAGCACCAGAAGCTGGTGGTGGTGTCGGTTTCCCCACAGTCCAGAGCATCTTTGGCGGCTAAGTATAACCTCGGCATCACAGACACAGCCCGGAGACTGACCGCATTCTTCAAAAACCTAGGTGAGCCGGTGGAACGGTTCCAGCATTTACAAGGGGCTGTTTCAGTTCTGGGGATGGGGGGTGTGGGGGGTGGTGGTGAGGGGACAGGGGGAGGTAAGGGAACATTTCACACTATCACTTTGGTTCTAAATCTTAGTGCTAAACAGTTTTAGCATTGCGTTTGGACATTCAGGGCTAGAGGGCATCAAAGCTGAAATCCGGACTCGCTATATAGGACTCCAGTGAGCAGTACCTACTGTATCCAGCGAGTCTGATTACAGCTGTGCTGTCCTAGATATTCAGAAAGGAGCAGATAAGGTCTGCCCACAGGGAGGGAGCTAGCTGAAGGATGCTGGACCCGGGTGAGTGAGTGTAATGGAGTTACTGATGTCAGATGTGATTGGGGATTTCTCTAACTCTCCTCTTGCTGTTCATGCGCTTGCTCAGGTGTTCACTCCGTGTTTGACACAACCTTCTCGAGGAACTTCAGCCTGCTGGAGAGTCAGCGCGAGTTTGTGCAGCGATTCCGTAGCCACAATCAGGACAACAAAGCCCTGCCAATGCTGGCCTCCGCCTGCCCAGGTATTCACACTGACTCCTGTATCTCACTGATCAGTACCAACCAGCCAGACAGATGTTTGTTAGGTCCGGGTATCAAGGGATATGGGGCAAAGGCGGGTAATTGGATTCAAGGTACAGATCAGCCATGATCTTATAGAATTACGGAATAGGTTCAAGGGGCTGAATGGCCTCCTCCTGTTCCTATGTATTGGCATTCTCCATCTCCCTTAGAGTTGCCATTTTTCAGTTGTTATTTTTAATAGATAAAATCAATGTTTACGTTTTCTCTGTTTTGGATCGTTTCGATTGCCAGCGGTCACTCACTTGCTACACAAATTTAATCGTGTTGTTGTTGATCCACTTAAATCAGACACTTTGCTTTTTACAGGTTGGATTTGTTACGCAGAGAAAACCCACGGCAGTTACATCATCCCCTACATCAGCACCACAAGGTCCCCTCAGCAGGTCATGGGTTCTCTGGTCAAGGACTACTTTGCTAAGCAGCAGGTACACAGTGAAGTGCTTCAGTGGGTTTATAATGTCACCCTAGAGGCTTGGAATCTCACAAGCCATCGTATAAACCAGCACAAGCACATGTTTAAGTACCGGGCCGTCAAGTCAAAGATCTGACTGTCAAAGTGAGAGTCACACATGTTGGGTCTGGTAAAACTGGACTCTTATCTTAATATAGAAACATAGGAACAGGGGGCGGACATTCAATCCCTCAAGCCTGTTCCACCATTCATGGCTGATCTGTATCTTTGTGTAGCTGTTTTTCTCTCCGTGTGTGTGTGTTTGGTGAGGGAATGGTGGTGGCATGTTGTGCGATGTAAGAAGTTTTTTCTGAAGCGGTTACTGTTTATGGGAAGATAAAGAGTCAAAGTGACTGTGAATATGTAATATTCTGATCTGTTTCGGGCTGCAGGCCACCACCGCGGATCAGGTCTACCACGTGACGGTGATGCCCTGTTACGACAAAAAACTAGAGGCTTCAAGGCCCGATTTCTTCAACACCGAGTACAACACGAGAGATGTGGACTGCGTGATCACATCGGGTGAGGAAAGCTCGAAGCCACCATTGCACTGCAACAAAAAACCCTAGTCACTCCCCGTGTACACAACCAGAGACATTTACAGCACAGAGGGAGGCCATTCGGCCCAGCGTGTCTGTGCTGCCTCTTTTAAAGAGCGAATCGTTCAGTCCCACTTACCTTACCACCTTATCTCTCCTCATCCACCTGTTACTCCTTCTCAGGTCTTTATCTGGTCCCCTTTTGAAGACTTAATAGGAATTACTCCCTAACAATGAGAGGTTGGAAAAAAAATGTTGTCCTAACCTCAAAATGGTCCAAAGCCAATGTTCTAGTTTGGTTTTGTGAAACTCACCCTTCATTGGCCTCGTTCTTAGCCCCGTTGCCCCATTCCTTGCCCTGCGTAGATTACCTCCTCCTGTAAGTTCCACTTGACTTAACAATGGAATCTCCCTGTTATTGAAGGTGAGGTCTTGAAGATGCTGGAGAAGGAGGGAGTCTCTCTGTCCAACGTGGACCCGGTGCCACTAGATTCAATGTGAGTCCAGAACCAAGACTGAGACACACTATCTCTCCCTCGGGACAGGTGGGGTTTACATGCAGCAATGATCGTTTACTGCACTGAGTGTTGTCCTTTTTTTTTGTTAAAAAAATGCTTGTGCAAACTTCAAATCCGTCTGTTCGGGATCTCTCCTCGCTGTTGAAGGGATCAACTCAACTCGGGTCTATCTGACCCGGTCACTGGAGGTTCTCAGGGTAACTTACGCCCTAGTTTTCTTTCCACAGCAAGGGATTGGCATTGCGTCTGCTCTCACCTGTACATCATAGATTAGGAGACCTCTGCACTGCTGGGTGTGGACTCACCTCCTCCCAATTCTACAGTGAAGTGTTGTGGTGCATCAATCCTCTGCACTGCCTGAGTCACGGAGAGCTGAGAGAGCGCTGTAAATGTCTGTATACATTCTGCATGATGCTGGATCCATTCACATCTTCAAGACTGAGGTGGATAGATATATGTTAGATCAGGGGATACGGGGCAAGAGTGAGGAATTGGACTTGAGGTACAGATCAGCCGTGATCTTTTAGAATGGTGGAACAGGTTCGAGGGCCTGAATGGCTTCCTTCTGTTCCTATGTTTCTGTGTCCTGTTCCAAATCTGAATCTATTTCATTCTCCACAGCTGTGTTAGGAGCACAGAATTTGTTTGACTTGCAGAGTTGCACAGGCTCAGATTTTCATATCCAGAGACAGGATATTTACAGTTTCCTGTAAGCTAAATGAGACGTACTTTTCCAGATCTTATCTGGTCAGTGTTTAGGCTGCGAAAACGAACAGGAAAGCTGCGTGGCAAATGGTGTGCAAGGTGTCTATGTACCTGCGGGTTACACCACTTCGCCTCTGAACCTCTTCAGTGTGTGGCTGGAGTGGAGGAACGGTGGGGGACATTTCTCAGACTGGAACAGTACACAAAGATCCTGTCTGCTTCAGAGATCTCAGCTAGAATCATTGCCTCGCTGTGTGCGTGTGGGTGTGTGTGCGAGTCTCCTCGTTCCTTAGTCAGATGCTAACAGGATTTGCACAACTAGTCTCCAACACAACAGTGACGTCTGCCCTTTCGGTGTATTTATTGCAACACATCTAGTTCTATATGTCAAATTCTGTGCACCTCCTTTGGTGTGAGAAGCAGTAGTTAATCAGTAAAATCCATCGCTTCATTTTCACCCTTTTAAGATTCCTCTCTCTGCAAAAACCACCCTGTAAAATCTGGCCAAGAGTTCACTTGCTCCCTGTAACCGCACAATTACTGCATTGTGAGAATGGAAGTGATTCAGGACTACGTGGGTGAGGAAACTACAACTTCCTGGAGTTAATGAAGTGTATCGGCCATACTCCTGTTACTGCTGATATTGTGGTTATTTGGCTGTTATTTTGGGGAGAGCCCAGATAGTGATGTAGATACTTGAGGAGGCTGTGGGTGTGGTACCTTCAAAGGACATACGAGAAAAACACCTCCATTGCAGCTAAATTGTCCAGCTCTTTAAATGACCCCCAGATTTCACTCAAGCGAATGCTTGTCACGATTGCAAATGTCTTAAAAAGTATTATGTGAAGTGTTTAGGAATTCTGCACTGAAGATAGTTCAGCAGCTCAGCTCGTGTTTCATTCTGCGGCATGGAAAGGGAAGGGGCTGAGCCGGTCAGTGTATTGGAGACCGGGAAAATGCCAGTGGGCAGTTGGACACTAGCTTTGTATTTATATTTATGGGTCGGTCAGGGCCTGTGCAGAACAGCTGCTGCAATGCTGTCGCTGTGTGACGGACTTTGGAATAATATCCCTGTTGTTTGGGAAGTTGTGAATTGACTGCCATGTCCTGTCTCCCTTTAGGTTTGATAGTGAAACTGAGGAGGAGATGATTGGTCATTCTGGCGGGGGCTCGGGGGGGTATTTGGAGCACATTTTCACACACGCCGCCAAGGAGCTGTTTGCCACAGAAGTGCATGAAGTTACTTACAAAACCCTCAGGTTGGTGGCTTCAGACGACGAGCTCTGAAATGTCGAGCTTTTGCTGAAAACCTCAGGATCCCCTCCACAGAGATGTGTATAATACTAAACTCCCTTCGCCTCACACCCTGGGCTGGTCCTTACATTGTCATTGCAGTAAGATAATAATAATCCTTCATAAATCCTTGTGTTTGATATAGTGCCCAGTATTAAGGGGCTTACATCATACGCAAGGAATATCATTATTATTATTATATTTTTGTACCGTTTCACTCGCCGCCTCCTGTTTGCTGTGGAGTGTGAATGCTGACTGCCGGCCTCCGTTGCACTCACAGGAACAGAGATTTCCAGGAAGTGACCCTGGAAAAGGACGGAGCCGCCGTCCTTCGCTTCGCGCTAGCGTACGGCTTCCGGAACATTCAGAATCTGGTGCAGAAGCTGAAACGCGGCAAGTTGACGTATCATTATGTGGAGGTTATGGCTTGTCCATCAGGTAGGAGTTTTTAAAAAAAAGGTTTGGGTGAAAGGGTAGACCAGGAAATGTTATCTGTTTCCTTCTCAACAGAGCTCATTGTTTAAACATCCATTAATGTGCTCCTGTCAGAAATATGTGGTCCTTTAGGACTGAGGTTGTCTCTCGGGTGTTTTGCTAATTCATTTCAGAGCAGAGCTAGATAACCATGATTAGACTTTTACTGATAAAGCTCTCTGGGACCCTTACCCTGCATGAGGGGGGGTTATATAAATGCAAGTTGTTGTGCTTGTTGTTGTAATATGGCAGGATTTCAACCTAATGAAGGGGAGTGAGTGATCCCATTCAAAATTAAAAGGTTAACACAAGTTTTAACAATGTGGGAACAATAAGAAAAGTCGAGAGGAACTTTTTTTCACACACTTTAGACTTTTAGAAGAAGTTTTCAGGAAAGCTTATTCTAAAAATCTAAACCCACTTTAGTTCAGATATGTCGCCCGATGATAGCGGGTTATCATTTTACTAAAGTTCACGTTGCTGTTGAAAATCAGCCACTAACCATTTGACATCTCCCGAACGGTCACCGCAGGTTGCCTGAACGGCGGAGGGCAAATCCGAGCAGAGGGGCCCAAGGCCAGCAAGGACCTGCTGCAACAAGTGGAGGAACTGTACTCGAATGTAAAGGTTCAGGCGCCTGAGGTCAACCAGCGCGTTCAGGAACTTTACCATCAGTGGCTAAACCACAGCGACTCCAACAGCATTGAGAAGTCGCTGCACACACAGTATCACGCGGTGGAGAGAACCAGCAGTGCACTCAACATCAAATGGTGAAAACTCTAAACACCGGGGTCTCCAACTGGCCCATCCCCATCGACTGCCTGGAGCATCGAGAAGTGGCCTGTCAGCCCGCTCAACCGATTCCACCAGGTCTGGGAGGTGACATGAGGACCCATCAAGGAGGGTTTCCTCGCTCGCTGACTGAGCACCATTTCAAATACCCAACAGGGATGATCCTGTGGAGAGCGAGGCGTTAATGGAGATGGGTTTGATGATGTGTTGATTACAAATGTAGGTGGAGGTGGAACCCTCCGTCTGGTTTTCACTCACTGCTCTGATTCGCCTTCAATGCTGAGTCACAGCACAAACTGACATTTCTAAACGCAAGCGAAGAAAGAGTGAGAGAAATTGGAAACTTTAAGGAAAACTTGAAGCTTCACTTGATTTTCCTCCGTCCTTTCAGTTAAGAAACAAAAGAGAAGTCATGAAAAGCACTTTGGGACGTAAAAAGGGACTGTAGCAAATGTAAACATTATTATTGTTGTTATTACACTTTACAATAAAATCCTGTGAAGCGCTTTGAGATGTCCTCCTGATTGATGTCAGAGGTCCTATTAAATGTAAAGATTATTATGATAATAAAGGAAGCTGCTCCTTTATGTTTGTTCGGAGAGTACGCTGGGGTTTCTGGTGCCCTTGTACAGAACATTGTGTCATTTTGTAAAGGGAATGTGTGATTTTCAAAATAAAGCTTCCAATTATTGGTCAATGGAAAACTTGAAGATTATGCGCACTGAACCCACACTTGAGTTTGTAACTTAACTTGCAGAAGGTCATTAACTCACAAGGGAAGCAGCTTAAATCGGGTAGGTTACGTGACATTGGATCCACAGCTGTAAACCCGGCCTGAAGATTTAATCTATTTACTGCACAACGCCCAACAGTCAAACCTTCGAGCGAACGTTGCTGCACTGAGCAGATACACAATGGGGGCAGAGCCACAGAGTTTTATCTCAAGTTACAGCCAATGCAACATTGCTTTGAGCAATAAAGCCAATAGACTGAAGTTAACGTTCCGGGTTTTTCTTTCTGCTGTTGCCAGACTCACAGCAGCACTTTCCCGTTTGGTGCTGGAGGCAGTGCGAATCGGGCTGCGGGGGCTCACTCTGCGATTCAAAATATAAATATTAATGCAGTCGTGTTTCAGGTGAAACAAGTTTGAGTTGTTTGCCATTCACTTCCGTGGCCTGATCTGAAATCACTTTCCCAGTCAAACTGCACTGCCCTCTGAGCTCTCCTGAGATCAGGAGAAGCGCCAGTTTCAGAGTCTCCCAACGAGTCTGTTTGATAAAATTTGTGCTTAGTTACGCCCTTGTTGGTGGCTGTCGCCTCTGACTCGCCTGGAAGATCAGTTCTCAATCAACCCACTAGAGGACACAGTACCCGGCCATCCATTCCAGACTCAACACTTGTCCCCACAGCTTCATTCAGGTTTTAATGCCGATTCCTCTTGAAAATACAGAATACATTTTTTGTCCCCTTTCGTTTCTGTGAATTTGAGCTTCGAAGAAGGCCCTAAAGGAACTGGACGTTTATCTTTTGACCCCGGAATCGTTTTCGGTCTCTCTTGTTGGCTGCAAACGGAGTGGATTCCGAAAAGCGCAACAGGACTCCGCAGTGTGCGCCCCCACGTCAACCTCGTTCGAGGTCTGTCTCAAGACCCCACTTTCCCCACTCTGACTCTGCCCTCGTTTCCCACCGCCAGCAAAGGTGCCAAAGCCACAATTGATGTCCTCCTGATGTGAAAGGTGCTCAATCACACATCTCACCTGGCGCTGTGTGTACTGCAGCCACTTCCAATGCATTGAGAGCACAATACATTAATTACCAAATAAAACTAATTAAAGCCTAATGAGCTACGGGAGCGTTCAGCCCCAGCTTCAGATCATTTAAAGTCACACGGTGCCATTCCTATATTCATAGCACATCATTATCCTGTTACAGTACAGCAGGTTAATCGTTAACGCTCACATCTGCTGCATGACGTCCCAGGTAGACGATTAACACCGGGTCCTGTGCTGAAATGTTAATTAATCAGAGAATCTCCCACAGGAGCAAACAGACGCATTCAAGCCTTTCGGGATGGAAGGAATTCTGCGTTAGCGCTTCATAGTTTGTCGAGTCGACCTCCGCCAAACCTGGAACACTGACCCGGAATCCTGAGGCTTTCCACTGTTCAGGGATTACAGAGCCGTGGAAAAATTTTTTTAAAAAAAAGACTGCAAGAAACCGCACACACACGTCAACAATAATCCCCTTTGCAAAAAAATGTAAAAAATCAATAATTTGCTCACTCAATCCACGACTGTTTGCGGGGACAGACGCTGCTGTGCGCAATTGGCTGCCGCAAATACACAGTCACTACACTTTACAGTATATTCTGTGAAGTGCTTTGAGACGTCTCAACGACGTGATCAGGCGCTGCATCAAATAAAAATATTAATATTATTAACACAACGGATTTATGTAGGACCTTTCGCTTAGCAAAAGATTTTAAAAACACATGTGACAGAGACGGAACAGTACCTCGAGCAGTGAGGCCGGAGAGAAGCCGCCAAAGTCTCGGTCAGAGTGTTTAAAAAGACAGGTTTTAGTATTAAAGGTTAAGTCCAGATTCCCGTACTTTATTGATGCAGAATCAACCAGATTCTCAAACATGCAAATCATGATTTAACATAGTTAGAATTTTACACAACAATCAGCGGATAATCCAAACACAGGTAACGAACCATTTACCAGCACAAAAAAAAACACAAGTCATTCTCTCTTGCCGCAAATTCTCTCTCCCAGGAACCAGAAAGATAGATGATTCGCGCTCCAAACAACAGCCTCTCAAATTCAAATGTCGGGACCGATGCGAAACGATATTCTAATTAAATAATTAGCGCAGCGATTAGAAATAGCGTAATTAACATTTCGCTGATTAATGGCGGATACGAGAAAACTAAACGTTGCACAGACAGTGAGATCCTGACAACATTAACATTCTTAGTTTTTTTCAAATGACTCCTATTAGCAATAATTACCCCTTTTGTTTTGTAGAGATACACGGCGACCAATTTGCACGTAGCAATGTCCCACAAACAGCCATGAAGTGAATAATACTAATAATAATCCTTGCGTTTGATACAGCGCCTTATCACGTCATTGAGATATCTCAAAGCGCTTCACAGAATATACTGTGTAGTCGATTGACTGCGTATTTTGTGTGTGAAACAATTTATATCTGGGTGATTGCCTGCCAGGACACACAGAGAACCTATACAAACTAAATCGCATTATTGCACTATATTAATAATTTATAATATAATAATCTGGCTGGTGAGCTCTTTTCCTAAGTTATTTTCCAGCCCATTCGCTTGGTTCAGGGGCAACTTGTAATGCTTTTGCGAAAGTAGTTGTGCAGGTCAAACCCATTGGGTTCCTCCTTTGTCCCCTTCCGACATTCTCTTTCAAATGTCCTCACAACTCAGTGCGGATCGCGGGCAAATCTGCCAACGTCCCCTGCGTTGACTGGCACAGAGCAGCTGCGATGACTCTTTACGATTTGCCCTCTCTCCCTGTACACAAACACCGATAGTCTCTGCCTCAGGACCTGCCTCATACAGTTTAGTATAGATCAACAACAACAGATTACACTTACACGGCGCCTTTCACACCGGGAGGACGTCCCACGGCCTGAGCTGGGGGTTGGGGTCAGGGTGAGATGCACAGATATAAACCCACGTCTTGCACTTGACGACAAGTTTCTTTTTCTTTTAAAAAAATAAAAAAAACAAAAACCGTCTTGAAAGCCGGGAGCTGCGAAAATGCCCAATATTGTGATGAATGGAGAGACAAACAAACACGACATGCAGTAAATGCCGTAAAAGCCATTTTATTTGGTCAAATTATATACTCTAAATAACTTAAAAATAGACGCTTTCTCTAAAAGATCATTAATTAACAGGAGACAGGAGTACAACAAGCAGCAGCGTTAACACAGCCGGCGGGCAGCACGGAACTTCAGGAACAGAGGTGAGGAAGCAACAATCTCTTCTCTCGGGTCGGTTTTAGATGCAGGTTATGGAATAAATGTGAACAAGTCTGAGCGCACAGGTCTCTGGGTACAGATTCATCATCAGGCCTATTAATAATAATAATTATAATAATCCTTGCATTTGATATAGCGCCTCATCACGTCGTTTAGACATCTCAAAGCCCTTCACGGGACATACTGCACTGCAAAGGGGATTGACACCCAATTGCTATATACACGGGTGTCAGAGATGGTTTATATTAAGAGGCCCTAATGCAATTTATTCCGCATCACCAGACACTCTCCTCGTCACAATGTTAGTGTTCAGTAGTTTCCCCCGTTCACCTTTAGTACCGTCTACGTTTAGAGATCGTCACAGCGCCTGGAAAGTGCTTACGGCATAAAGTGCTTCCTCTTTCTGCAAAACACTTCAGAAATAAACAAACGGGTTTGGGAGCAAGTTTGGGATTTCATCAAGACAGAAAGCGCAGGTTTCACAATCAGCCTGTAATTTGTTGTGGTGGTTATTGTTGCTGCTTCACCTGTAAGTCACTCTCAGGACAAAAACCTTCTTTTCTTTCCCCTGTGTTTGCCGCTAGTTAATTCCTCCAGGTGGAAAGGGAAATAGCCAGGCTTTGGGTTCTTTTGAACGGATCAAATTGACCAATAATAATCCAAATGGGACAGGGGCAGGCTGCACAATCATTAAGAATTAGCCAAAATAATTGGAGTTGAGCTACAGATCAGCCACGATCTAACAGAATGGCGGAACAGGGTTGAGGGGCTGAATGGCCTCCGCCTCCTGTTCCTCTGTACAAACCCAGTGTTAGCAACAAACAATCCCGAGACCACGATTGGGAGACTTGAGGGAGGGAAATCAACATATTAGACACCAGCGAATCCACAGCGAAAATCTTACAAGTCATTCCCACATAAGAGTTTTCTACACACTCTCTTTGCAAAGCTAAACGAGTTTTGTTTTTTTAGACCTGTGTGTTTATTACTGAATACTTGCGTTGCTGTTCTCTGCTGTTACTACAGGGGTGTCGGGAGCTTGCTTGTGAGTCCGTGTGAAACGCTGGGTCGGAGGTTAGTCTTTCGGCACTTTAAATCCATCCTTCTCTCTCCTGATGGCGTCCATGGTGTTAACGGCATCTTTCTGTCCAGCGTGTTTCTGCACCGATGTCTCTCTGCAGACAGCAAAACACATCAAATGCAACGAGGACACAAATTACTGGTCGATAAGTTTGTGCGGCTAAGATAGAATTAAAGCCTCGGAGAGAACAATTCTGAATGTATCACCACAATCCTCAACTGTAAAAAATCTCTCGAAATCCAGATCTCAGTGAGAGACCGCGTGCGTGTTTATGTATGTACGCACGTGTTGTGTGTATGTGTGTGTGTGTATGTTCAAAGTGAATGTTTGTAATGTGTGTTATTTCTTAAGGCACCTGCGCAACAACGACAACAACACAGGAGCTGTGTTTCAGAGCATTTAACAGCAGCGGAGCCTGACTCCGAGCCGGTGGGGCAGGTGACTGTAAAGGAAGGTTTTCAGGCAGGACTTGAAGAAGGGGAGAGGGGGGGCAAGGGGGAGGGATTGAAGGAGAGTGTTCCAGAGTTTTTGGGGCGCAGTGGATGAAAGTGCGGCCTCTGATGCTGGGGCGGAGGATGTGAGGGACGGGGGCTGATGGTGGGGAGGTCGCTTGTAAGAACATAAGAATTTGCTAGGAGAAAGAAGGCCAAGGTCCATCTAGTTTGCCGCCCATCCCGCCATCCCTGGCCGTCGTTGACATGTCATGCCCTAAACTGTACACTGCGTTAGTCTCAGATATTATTTTCTAGCAGAAATCGATCTAATTTGTTCTTGAAACAAACAACATTTCCTCGGCTGTACCTGACTCTCATGAAGGGGTTGTATGTGAACTCCTCTCCGATGGTGGACGGGATAGTAGGTTCCCCGAGATCATAGCGTTCCTAGGAGGGTGAGGGGGGGGTGGGGGGAAAGGAAGAGACGCTCAGACATCACATTGTCCAAACCACTAACACCGGTTTAAACGCTGTGAGCCACTTCCCTGCCGAAGTGGAGCCAATGCACCGTAGGCAGGGACCAGAGAGGATTATTGTTCAGCTGCCCTGTGATCTAAAAAACATATTTATCATCACGTCTTTGAGACTTATTGGACATTGTAAATTATCACCACCTTTTGAAGGGTCGAAGTTCAAATTTCACGACATCTAACCCCACTCGGCCTCCCCCACGTTTTACAAACAGGAATAAAATAACCAGCAAACAAGCGGCTTTGCCTACCTTGGCCCAGGCTAACTTCTGTTTGATGGCCTCATTGTCCGGCTCAACGGTTAGGGCGAACTTCAGGTTGTTGATGGTGTACTCGTGCCCGCAGTACACCCTCTGGGGAATCAGAGACCAAGAGAACGTTAGAAACAATCATGGAATCGCGTCAGTCACCTCACCGCAGCCGTGATCGCTTCGGAAACGTAACGGGGCGGCAAATCCGCGGGTTACTTCCTAAAGAACCCAAAAATGTTAGGGTTTGGTTTTTCGGGGGGGAAAAGGGAGAGGGGGGAATCCGATGCAAGTCATTGCTGCTGTCCTTGTCGAACGGGGAGTTGTCCCGATAGTGGACACTGTGGAGAGGTTTATACTCACGGTCTCGGGGGGCAGTGTCCCCAGGATGTCGATCAGCGCTCGGTACATCTCCTCTCCTGACCCTTCGAAGAATTTTCCGCATCCGCCAACAAACAGCGTGTCGCCTGGGGGGAAAGCCAGCCTCTGGGTTACCAATCCTGCGCATTCAGGGTGATTACTAGGCCTGAGTGAATCACTAAGCTGTTAATTAAGTCGCTGATGTGTTTCTTTCTCAGTGTGGATCAGTTTAAACAAGTCAGAGATGTGTACCTGGCATATATACAGATAGATAGATATATATCTACACACACACACACTTAAATCACTAGGTTAATGTTTCACTGGGAAAGGAAATCTGTGGACAGATATAAAATCTCCCTGCTTCGACTTTAGCCCTTTGCCTAAACCTTGTCCAACAACAACATAAGCCAATGCCTCCTGAACAGCCCTCACAAACTCATGTATGTGGAGCCCTGAGGCTCAGTGGTCAGAGCACTCGCCTCACAGGCGACAGGACCCGGGTTCGATTCCCGGGCAGAGTGAAACCCAGGCAAGTTTCCTTACTCCACACACACGCCTGTTTAACCAGCTGTCAGTAGGAACCCGGTTATTAGTCGATTGACGGATCGCTTTTAATAAATAATAACTTAGACACTCAATACACGACTGTTTGTGTCGACACAGCTGTGTGCAATTGGCTGCCACGTTTCCCCCATGAAATAGACAGTAAATTCACTTGCGAGTGTATTCTGTGAAGCGCTTTGAGACGCTGTGTCAAAAGCAAGGATTATTATTATTATTATTATTATTAATTAACTCAACCGAGCATTACACTTGTTTTTTTGTAAAAAAAAAATCTGAAAACACTAAAACACCTCAGAACAGACCACGGCAATCGATCGGTTATTATTATTTTCCAGGTTGCAGAAAAGGAGGTTTGAGCTGCACTCACCAGTGAATACAGCTGGTGGTTCATTGCTGTTCTCTTCGGTCACGTAGTAGCAGACATGTCCTGACGTGTGGCAGGGGGTGAACAGGCATTTCACTTTCAAACAGCCAACCTGAATGGTTCAGCATATTTTCCGCGGTTAGTGTTTTCAGCAGAATCAATCATTCCTACAATCGGCCAAGCGACTTTTCCGAATTTGTGTTGACTGAATCGATTCAGAGTCAAGCCCTGGAGGGAGTTTATCGGAGGGCGGAGTACTGTAGCTCAGTTACGCGATGACCGCTCGCTTAAGGAGGTGCCGATGGCAATGCTTTCGAACTGGCCTCGACCCGCGCCATTGTCTGTTGTCCCAACAGCGCCAGCCAAGGCCAGAAATCACAGCTTCTGTTGATGGGAATTGTTTCCCCTTCAACAAAGCGTTTCACTCGCTGTCACTCAAATGCAGGATTTTAAACATCTCTCAGAGGAAGGCATCGGGTTAGCGACCACTGTCGAGGGCTCAGGGGCCCTGCCCTGAGGGACCCTGCCCTGCCCCGAGGGACCCTGCCCTGCCCGAGGGACCCTGCCCTGCCCCGAGGGACCCTGCCCTGCCCGAGGGACCCTGCCCTGCCCGAGGGACCCTGCCCTGCCCCGAGGGACCCTGCCCTGTTGTTGTTGTTGAAATCCTGAAGCTGTGATTTCGAGGGCCATAATGATGAGGAATGTTCGATCTTCCTGGGACACGCGATCCCATTGTAATTGCTCCCTCCCTCCTCCCCGCCTTCAAAACCCACCTTAAAACCTATCTATTCTCCCGGCCACCCCCAACCCTACAGCAGCAGCAGCAACAACAACTTGCGTTCATATAGCGTCCTTCACACCGGTCGGCGTCTCGGAGCGCTGGACAACCCCAAGCTAGGGGGCTCCCAGCCGGTCGAGACTCCCCTGTTGCTGTGAAAGACGCGGTAGAAACCCAAACTGCTGTGATACACCACCTGGAATGTGTGCTTGTGGGTCACTCGCTGACTGAGAGCTGTGATCCGATCGTCACCACCGCACACTTTAAGATCCGGCAGCAACTTTACCAGCTTCTTATTGCCCCCGGCGTGGTCCCTGCGAGCACAGGGGCAGGACATGTGTGAAAGGTAAAGCATAAAGGCGGGAAGTTAGTGCTGGGGTGGGGGGGGGGGGGGTGGTGTTTGCACATACGTGTGCATTGTGTGCGTGTGTGTGCGCGCGCGTGAGATCCCGTTTCGCTCTCGATCCGTTTGCAAAACACGTCCGTCCCGAAACAAAGACCCACCAGTGGTGATGAGTGGTGAGGATGGTCGTCAACGTAACCCCGTGCTTCTTGGCGGCGTCTACCACCTGGAAGAGAAAATACAAAACCCCCCCCACCACCACCATGTAATCAATCCTTTCTGCACTATAATAACAACAACAACAACAATCCTTGCATTTGATACGCCGCCTTATCACGTCTCGGAGACGTCTCAAAGGGCTTCACAGGATACACGGTAAAGTGGACTGACATCTTTCAGGGCCCGCGCCCTCAGATCTGCGTGTCAGTTGGGGTAGTGGTATCTCTGGATGTTCTCAAACCCCAAGACACAGTAAACCTCGCACCCGCCTGATCTGTACGATTCATAAAACCGCCCAAACCAGGCGTCTGCCCAAGTCCCGTTCACGAGTTTATAATCTCTGCAAGTTTGACGTAACTCATACTTTGCATATGATACACCTGGCCCCGACTGACATGGACCCCCGTGAGGTTTACTGGACAAGTCAGTCTGCTTCTGATCCACTTCAGTGACATTGTGATTGAGCAACGGATGGGATTCAGCGCCACACGGAACAGGATAAACAAGTTCTCCGCTTGCCTTCTGGGGCTCAACTGGATCCACTATGGCTGCTTCCTTCGTCTCACTGTCGATGACGAGGTACATGTAGTTGTCGGCCAGGGCCGGCAGAATTTCGACCTTCATCGCGGACCGAGAAACGGTTCTAGATTGCCTCACAAAACCTCTGGACTGAAAGTGAGATGGACCTGGAATTTACAAAAGGCATTAAATTAATACTAAATTATCCCCGAAAGGACCCCCGGCTGTATCAAGCGTGGTTTTATATCTACACACACACACATATATATATATATATGTAAAAACATCCCATCTCGTCACTATGGGTCTCAATAATTCTGGAAAGAAGGTTGCACAGCAACAACAACAAACACTAAATTACATTTATTCGGGGG